GTATATCCTCTCTAGGGCCCCAACTCCAGTGCCCAAAGTCTTCGCCAACGCTCGGGCTCGAGGGTTGGCATCCTCTGTGTCATGACCTGGCGATAAGCGATGACTCACTCTGCAACTTGAAAGAAGGGTTCATGCTCGGGCAACAAGCCAAACCTTGCATGCAGAATCTCGATAAGACAATTTCACATTCAGCCGCAACATGACGGGATCGGACAAAGCGGTGCATAGAGCTGTGATTTCATGTAGCATCGGGCCGACACTGATCATTGCCCTGAAACCCTCTAGTCGATCTACTAGAACCTAACCTATCCTAGGCCCGGTGCCACAACAACCCCTGCTAGCAGCAAAATTTGATGCTTGCTTTTGCAGCATCGATCTAAAGCTTCTCCTGGTCTGAACTCCTTACGTAGGCTACTGGGTCACATTTGGTTTGGGTTGGGAGCATACTAACGACATCATATCGAAGCTTCAGACCATCGGGTTTCCAGGAAAACCTAGGCTGGGGGCTGTTTGCGGCGTTTGCGCTGCGGGGGCTTCTCCTCGGTCTCCGCTTCACCTTTGGGCTTGGGCTCAGAGGACTCTGCCTTCCGCTTGGAAGCCTCTTTCTTCTTCAGCTTCCTGAGTTTCTGATATGATATCCCAAGCAGTCTTATTGTACATTAAAGTAAACGTTCGAGTCGCACACCCCTGCCGAGGCACTTGTTCTTCACTTCGCAAGAGATGGCAAGCGTCATCCTGAGCAAGGGGTGTTTCGGATCAGATTAATTGTAGCTTTAGGAACGCATAGCCGCAGGGAGGTATCAAGAGCATGTACAAGCAGAGGGGTTTAGGGAAGTGTGGGGTTCAATCTAGCACAAATTACAAGTTCGGGTTGATGCATCCCAGCTTCTGCTTCTTCACGGCCTCAAAGATCTTCTCCAGGTTCTCCATTTGCCTTAGAAACAGCAAATGTTGGGCGACAGAGAAGTGTCATATATCTTCGCTTCAAACCCAGGATGATATCCAAAGTGCGCTTCAGACATAGCACCGACTTTAGAATCGGCTTGCATCCCTGCAAGGCCATCGTATAATTTCCCAAGTTGGTCTCGGATCTCCAGCATCTTCGGCATTTCCCTTGGATGGTCCAGTGTAAGATATCTAAACCTAACGATCACAATCCTACAGAAACCATCGTGATTTCAGTTGAAATGCAGCTTGACTGTGGGGTCAGTCATATCCAGCTTGTCCGTGAACTTGGTGAGTTTGTCTCGTGCTGACACACATTCCTTCATGTACAACGGGATGTTGTCCGTTGCCTCGGCTGTCTGATCCTACGGACATTATATTGCCAGTCAGTTGCACTCATGCGTCATGTCGAATGCTACTGTAGCGGCCTTCTTTGGAGCTTCTTCTGCACAACCTTCCCTGCCATCGCGACCCCACTCACGATCCAGGTTACCCTGCAAGCCGGAGATGTTGAGGCTCGAAGATTGTCCAGAACCTGACACTTTCTCCTTGAGTCCTTCGATTTCATTCGTACCCTGCTGGCCAATGGTGCGTTTTTCGCACCAGAACTGTTCCAAGTCCTCATCGTACTTGTCCTTCCTGAGAGCTCGCGTGTGGGAGATTGTGGCAGGGCTTTGGGGGCATGTAGGGTGCTCGAAGCGAAAAGGGATGAGATTTGCAGCCATGGTTCCGAATGTTGCCAATTGGATTTTTTCGGCACCACTCAATACATTTGTCAGCATACTTCCTGAGTTCATGCAGCACACTTCTTCTAGATACAGATGTTCTCTTCTATGGGCATGACACTTAAGAAGCTTCATGCAATCTAGACGCGCACTCCAACCCAAGCCTCCTTCTGAAACCTTCTGAGTCATCTCAGCCCTTGTATAGAAGCCGCCTTCGTCAGACCGCCTCCTGAATTTTTGGGTGTCCTTGTAGAGCTCTACCTGTCTCAAGAATTCTTCCTGGCACGAGTTTTAATATAGGGTTTAGGGTTTAGGGTTTTAAGGTGTAGCATCGCCGACTGTATGAATCACTATCATTGTAAAGTCCTTCTCTCCGTTGCAGTCGATGAGTGTTTGCACCATGGAATCTCGGGTGGTTCCTGACTTAAGCCAGAGCTGGTGGATCTCCTCGGAAACCTGGAGTTTCCCAGTCGATGTTCTATTGCACAGTCGTCGCAACTTCGCGTCCATGCGATTCCACAGTTTCTTAGAGTCGTCATCTTGTTCATTGTCACCGGCAGTGCCGGCACCTTGCTCTTGCGTCGGAGAAGTCGTCGTGGCCTGTTGAGCCATAGAAGTTGAGCTGTTGTCCTGGAAGCAGAGTCTCTATACTTCTATGATAGGTATGATACCACTAGAAGGATCACTTAGTGTATGTAAGGAAACCCAACAGTCCTTCTGCGTGGCTACTGCAGGCTCGGGCACATGGGTCGGGGTCGGAGTCTCAGCTGCTGGGGCGGCTGCAGGCTTTGGGACCCCCTGGCCCCCTTTCATCCTCTCAATCATGCTCTGCTGAGCCTGTACCAGCTGCAGCAACAGGTTGTACTGCTCCTGGTCAACCTGGGATTGGCACGTTTGGGTTTAAGTATAGGCAGCTAAGTTTGCTAGCAGTACCATCGCTTGGATTAAGCTAATAGCTAACTGGCTTGGCTCTACAGGATTCTCCATTGGCTGAATTTGATCGAGTCTCTCCGCTTGGCTGCACTGGGCTCTGCGTGGTATGCTTGGGTGGAGGAGTACACGGTGGGCTTGGCAGTTGGGGTGGCTGCGGTGA